TACAATTAAAGATATTGAAACTAGAAATTAATTTAGTCTAATTCAAAAGTGTATTTCTGAAAACTAAGACATACCCACAAATGTGCTGCCTTGCTGCTTCATTGTTAAAATGTGGGAATTGGCAGACATAAGCAGTGAAAACCAAGTGGGTACAAATCTATTAACATTCAGACAGTGTTGCAGGGGTGGGAGCCGCTCTGTGCCCATTTTAGTCTCATGGCGACTGAAAACTACTTTGACTTTATCAATGAGCAGCAGCAGCTTTAGTGCTCAATAAATACATAGCCACATCAAGAAAATCTGTCCGATGCATCATTTACCGGTAATCCATTCTGCGTTTTTTTTTTCAGACTTTTTTTTTCTCCTCCATGGCACTGCCCTGCAAATCTAAATAGACTCTTCCTGTTTCACCACAATGCAAAGAGGCTCCAAATCAATATGTCATAGCTTTGTGCCAGAGAATTCACATTATGAGATTAAATGGAAGAGGAAGTTGAAGAGCAACAGGAAATGAAAATAAGGAATTATGTAAAATGTCTTGCTGGTGGTGTAAAATAGATACTGAGATATCCTACTGTACACTTAAAGAGAGGTCAAATATTGTCACCGTTTTAATACATATGGAACTATATTATCAGCAGCTATTATCCATACGTTTCCTAATCATGCTGTGAATGCAGCTCTGGGTCGTCTTAGTTATAGGAAAGGATAATCCTGGCATTATTTACGGAGGACTGCATATCATAGGGGAAAATTATTTTTTTATTATTCTGTTTTTGTAATTTCTGTCTAGATCTGCTTAGTTTTCTTTTGCTTTGCTGTATAATTAGAGTTAAATTAATTTTGTTTTGCAATTGTGCCAGAGGTTGCCAGAAGGTCTCATCTCCCCCACATCCACACATTAGATTTCTTTTAAAATCACTATGTTAGCCCACACTCAGTAATCTCCCTTTTTGGCACTTTGGCACTCCCTGCTCTTCTCAGGTTTCTTTGGCCCAGCCCCAGTACTCAAACTAAACCCCCTCTATGAAGTGTGCACATGGAGGAAGTGCATGGGTTCAAGTGTGCAGATGACAAGTCTGCAAAACTGAAAGTCCCTGTTTTTGTAATGTTACTGCTAAAATAAAAAGAATTAATACAACAACAAATACTTTTTTATTCACAGTCATGCAGTAAAATCTAAATTATTTTGATAATTATACCTGAAGACAGCACAAGCATTGGAACTCACATTTTCTTTAACTTATTTTCCCAATAAACTAGTTAAATTCAAACAAAAATATTGGCCATGTACAAGACAGACCTTGAATGAGGAAAGAATCCAAAATAGACATTAGAAAATAAAATATGTATAGGAGAATAAGTTTAACTGGATAGAAATTTCAGAAAAACAGAAAATTTAAATGAATGCATTTTAGGAGAATTTCACAGCATATTTTCTATATTTTTTTGTTTTGTCTTTATTGTCTTGATATAGAAGACTATTTTAAAATCATAAAAAAAGAAAGTATGAAAGTATATTTGAAAATAAAAGGACCATTTAAGACTAAGAGCCAATTAAATTTTGAAATCTTATGAATCCTGATAACTGTAACATAAGACAAGAATGCTTTAGATGATAGACACAGAAGAAAAAAAAAACAACTCGTTCCTTCTAATTTACCTGGTTTGGTATTTTTTTAACTGTTGGGTGGACAATTTCATAAAGTGACTATTATGGAGGGTCATTGTTAGTATATGTGTTTTTTTTTCTATACCACATCCCTATTAATAATAAGCAAATAGATAAGCTTTTACTGACAGATTATTCATTAAATCATATATTTATTATCAAGTATAATTCATAAATATTAATATTTCCTTTTGCAAGGTTAAGAAAATGCGAAGAATGCAAAAACAGTGATTTTTATTAACTAAATAAAAGTGCTGAAGTACAGCTTTGCATATTTGATTATAAATTAGCCTATGTTTGTTTAAGTTGGTTAAATTATAATTATATGCAAAACCCCATCATGCACCGCAACATATTTTTGCAAAATATTCAAACATAAATTCATCAAATATAACAGGAACATCGTAGTTTGGTTTAAAGAAAGCATTTTAGTTAAATTATAATTTAGTTTGTTGCAAGGATTTTACAGTTTGAACAAATAGAAAATGACACCATATGTCAACTGTCACAGCAATGTGCGTGACAAGGAAGGGCTATATATTCTACATGCATCATTTAGGTAGTTAACGTTGTATTACTTCTTGAGCTCCTTGAGTTATTTACTGTCACAGGTAGGTACAGTAGGTGCCGGCTGAGAGTAAGTGTTGTGGCCGGCCCACAGATTACCAGCCCGAGCCTGCCCCCTGCGACCCCATCTGGGATAAGTGTGATGGAAAATTTATATAAATAAATCCTTTTTTACATGTGCAATGATTAAAGTTGTACCAATTTTCGCTGTCCTTGATCCTCTCTCAATGTCTTCCATCTATGCTTCATTTAACGAAAATGTCATATCGGTCTTATGGCTATGCTGATGTGACTCACATTTACTACAAATAAAACCAATCCCAGCACTTTTAGCATTATAGACAAAGTTAGACCTTAAAATATTAATCCCATGAACTCTGTAATCCATGCAGTTCATCATCCATCCACCTTCTGCTGCTTATCTGTCAGGGCTATTGGGGCTGGTGGCTATCTGCAGCAATCTATGGGCAAGAAGCAATGTAAGTCCTGGACAAATCACCAGTCAATTGCAGGGAAAAACATAAAAACACACCTAATACCAATTCAGAGAGCAACAGTGCTATAAATTGTGCAGCATCCAGTTCATCATAGTGGGAATGAATACTTTCCCTCCCATCTTGCCATAATGTAACAAAGAATTGCTGCCAAAACGTAAGATCTTATTGTCCTATCCTCTTTAGAAAAAAAAAAAAAAACTGCTGTCAGCTCTTTGTTTGCAATAAACCTTTGACCTCTTATATCATATTGCTGGGCCGGCTCATAATTTAGGTCACACTCTTGACTCTAAAAGTCTTAAAATTGTCTTAGAATGTATCACTTATGCTGGTTTTTCTATTCATTTTCCTTCTATTTCAAATTCCTCTTCAAATTTACATGGCGATTAATCTGTGCCCTCAGGTGATGTTTTAGTTATCAGATATAATTTCCTTCATGGCAAATATTTAAATGACACAACGTCTCAAAAGTAGAAATTAGGATCACATCCAAAATTATATCCCTCCTGTTACAACCTGACTTAAAAAAGTGATTCATACCTTTATTTCCAGGTATTGTAGGAACATGAAAACAGTCCTTTTGTAAACTTCAACTAATCCAAAACATGACAGATGGGCTCTTAACTAAAGCTAAACAAAATATCTGAGAGATGATTTTATAATAGGCCATATATATGATTGTCTTTAAAGCCTCTGATAGACAGGGCCTTTCTTTTATCTCTAAGATAATATTGTTTATACCGGTATTCTTTTATTGCATTTGGTTCTACTGCTTATTTATATGTACACATTGGTATATAGCACTGATTTAAAATTAAAAATAAATAGAGACAAAATTAACTACTATTTACGGAAGAGGATTAAGGCCACTGGAAAAAAAATTAACAGATTTTTTTTATTTTATTTCAGTATAATATAAGAAAAAAAATTAATTCTTACTTTTTACTCAGAATTCTGACTTTATTCTCCGAATTCTGGCTTTAATCTCAGAATTCTGACCTTATTCTCAGAATTCTTACTTTTTTCTCAGAATTCTGACTTTAATCTCAGAATTCTGACTTTTTTCTCACAATGCCAAGTCTGTTTTAAAGAGTAAACTAGCTCTCTTGTTTTAATCACCTTCTGCCCTTCCATTAATTAAATAGCATCTTTATGTTAAATAATATCACGTGAAAAGTCGCCTTATTCCGTAATTTTCCACCAATGTGTCACTGGCCCTCCCAAACAAATAACATCTTTGTCTGTGAAGCTGAGTGCTCCCACATCTCTTCCTTCATGGTAACCATCTACATTAAGATCCAAAATTCTGAGATTAAAGTCAGAATTCTGAGAAAAAAAAGTCAAAATTCTGAGAAAAAAGTCAGAATTCTGAGATTAAAGTAAGAATTCTGACTATTTTCTCATATTATAGTGAAATAAAATGTAAAAATCAGTTAACTTTTACAGGGTCAATTGACGCTGTTCCAACAGGAAAATTAACGAGCAAAACATCCATATTTTCTAAATAAAGAAAAATCATACTTTCCCACAGCCTTTGTTGACAAATAGGGTTATTTGTTAGCAAAGGCTATACCTTTCTAAATAAAAGGTATAGTGGATAAAATTCTTTCAAGTTTGAATTTTGGGTTTTCAGTAATCATTCTGCATAAAATTGATATTCACAAGAATTATCTACATAAATTGATTGTTTAAAAAGTTTTTATTAAAATAGTTATTTACTAATGATTTCACTGAAGACTCCTAGATGACTTGCAGAAATACTTCATTTTCTCTTCACGCCATAAAACACAAAATCTATTTCTGCTTGAATTCTCTGCTTATCATCTTTAATGTTAGTATATTGATGTGCATAATAATCCACATTGTTTTTGTTTTCATGTCATTTTTAATATATGAAAAATTTAAATGTTTTGAATATTCCACTTGAGAGTATTACTGTTGCCCCCATCTGTATTAGAGAGAAATAAATAGTAGAGGTGGCCAATGATTGGCTAAGGGGGGGCATGGCCCCCCCGGTCCCCCATCTAGCTCCACCCCAATCCTCTTCCGTAACTATTAGACACCGGTTTATATTTTTTACATTCGGTGTTTTGTGGTGATAATTACCGCTGAATTAGAAAAGTTGCAGATTTGTGGAAGCATGAGCAACACCAAGCGGACCCCCTCCCCACCCCCACCAATGCGCCGTCAGCCAGCTGCCCACCCTCTTTTTCCTCATCTCGTCCCCCCGCCCATCTCCCCCTTCACTCGTTGAGTGACGTCCTGCTAGAAAGCGGGACCAGCCCTCCTGTCGCCATTTTTCTCTCCAACCCTCGCACTTCTGGTTTCCTGAGCGAGCGGAGGACAAAATCAAAAATAACGGCAAGTTGATGACAAAATATCGGTCAGGTCGGGATAGTGCGCCAGCGGTAAGGGAATGCAGCCCCTGAGATGCACCAGCGGCGGATAAACGGCTGTTCTCAAGTCACTTTTTGTGTGAAGACGTGTTGCGGGCCGCCATTTTTTCCTGCGCTGCCTCTGAAGTCTGCTCGAACCCGAGAGAGGGAACTCACCGACCTGCCTTACCGTTAAACCGAGAGGATTTGAAGTAACTATCTTTGTTTCCCCTCCCCTGCGGCTAATTTTAGCCGTTTTTAGTTGACAGAAATGAGGAGTTCTCTATGAAAAGAAACGAGGCCACCCTTTCCTCTTTTTTATGTTAACTGACCCTGACTGGAGGAGATAATTATTTGAAGCCTTGTGTGTGTGTGTTTTTTTTTTTTTTTCTCGGAAGGCGGAACGAAAAGGAGGAAGCTTAATCGATCATTTCTTGCTTTCGGGCCCTTCTCGGTGTTTTTTGTTTCGTAAGTTAATGATTTTTCTCCATTCTCAGACGCTTAAAACTGGGCCAATATGCTCCAAAGTTGGACCAAGTTAGTCCCAGCGCGTCCTTAAAAATAACAGGCCGTTTATTTATTAAAAGAAAAAATCATCATTGTCAATTTTTTTTTAATTAGGTCGACGAAGCTGCGTTTCTACAGAAATCACTGGAAAACGTACAGGGGCGACGAATGCCCTGCCCTGCACCTACTGAATCCTCTACTTTGGATCAACGCTGAGCTTTCTTTTATTTATATTTATATAATTTATTTTTTGGTGGGGAAACAGACATGTCAACGGCTCGGTTCGACTCTTGTGATCGGTCCTCCTGGTATTTTGGACCGGTTTCTCGACAGGAGGCACAGAACAGGTTACAGGGACAGAGGCATGGGATGTTTCTGGTTCGAGACTCCTCTACCTGCCCCGGGGACTATGTCCTGTCTGTGTCTGAAAACTCCAAAGTGTCTCACTATATCATTAACTCTTTGCCCAGCAAAAAATTTAAGATAGGCGATCAGGAGTTTGATAACCTTCCTGCTCTTCTGGAGTTCTACAAAATCCACTATCTGGATACAACTACGCTAATAGAGCCTGCCCCCAGGTAAGGAAGTCAAGCAACACCAGCTTTACTATTAACCAGAGTTTTATAACCACTAAACTCAGTTTGGACATTTTTTTTTTTTTGCACGATTTGCATTTGACATATTCATTTTACTATTTGAAGCTTTCTGCTCTACAAAGACGCCTTTGATAGAAACATTTTCCAGAAGACTGATTTGAGTACTGATGTATTTTAGTTTATTTAACTAATGCTTTGTTGTTTCCATGGAAGTAATTGTGAAAGAAACAGTGGGGAGACAAGTAATTCAAATGCAGGTGACTTCAAATGGCTATGGTTTGTTAGCATTGAGGAGAAACATCAAAGGTTTGGAAATATTTACACATGAATCCATCAGCTAGTTTTTGCAAGGGAAGAATGGCAAGCTATTTATGCAAAGCTATTATCAATGGAGGAATAAACTTAGCAGCCAATTTAATTTAAATTTTTTTTTTTTTACCAATATGACGTGTATGAAGGAATATCTGGGTAAGAAATAGCAGTTCAGTCATAGATACACCTAGAAAACTTATAGAGTAAACCCTTGTTTGCCAATTTAGAGTATGGTGTTCAAACTATTAATAATTTCTTAGTATGTTCTCTAGATAGTAACCAGGCTCCTGGCAGTGAGCAGTAAGTTTTTCCAGAAGGACAGTTCTGGGTTGATCCTTTCTCCACGAAGCTATAAAAACCTTTGGATTTTGGATAGGCCTCAAAACAGCTGATTGGTCTTGTAAATAAGGCAAAAAATGTAGTGCAGGTCTTTCACAGCTGATAGTGGATAACAGCACATTGGATGTTTTTTTTGTTTGTTTGTGTGTGTGTATATAAAGCTAGTTATGTGTAAAGTAGCCTTTTATTCAGTCTGATTTTTTTTTCTTTTTTTTTTTTTTTTACTTCATGTTGCTTTGCTTTAAGACTACTCTAATATGTCTTTTATGTGATCTAATGGCTAAATAAAAGCAATTTTTCTGTCTTCCCAAGGTATCCAAGCACGATCACTGGACCCATCCAGACAATGGTCGGTCCCGAAGAGAACCAGGAGTATGTGAGAACATTATACGACTTCACGGGAAGTGACGCCGAGGACCTCCCGTTCAAGAAGGGGGAGGTTCTTATCATCCTTGAGAAGCCAGAGGAACAGTGGTGGAGTGCCAAAAACAGAGAGGGACGCGTTGGGATGATCCCTGTCCCTTATGTAGAGAAAGTGGTGCGACCCTCTCCCCATCCTGGCCATCCTATCCATGGATCTCGCAATTCCAACAGCTATGGGATCCCGGAGCCGGCCCACGCCTACGCTCAGCCCCAGACGCCCCCTGGCACACCTGGAGCAGTTATCTCCCCCTTACCCTCCGTGCAGAATGGCCCGGTCATTGCAAAGGCCATCCAGAAACGAGTGCCTTGTGCTTATGACAAAACAGCTCTGGCTCTAGAGGTACAGTATGTCATCCATCAGTTCTCTCTAAAATTATAGGTTGCTTTAAAAACTAAATGTCTATATGGCTCCTTTATTAAAATGTTGTTTGTAGGTTCAATAGGTGTTTTTTGTCTTGTCTTTTAGAGAGAGCTCCCCAATTCTTAAATTATAGAAGCCATGTCGCAGGGTTGAACACTACCACTAACACAAGACTCACAGGCGTAGTTCTGTGGGCTGAAGGTGTAAAACTGTCCCACTTGATCTCTAGTCATTTTTTTCCGGTGCTTGGGTGTTGGTTACCATCATAGTTGGTGTGTTTGGTCACATCAAAAAAGATCTGACTTTTACTTAATGTTGATCAGTTCTTTAAAGTTAAGTTTTACAGTTTTCTGTAGTTGTGGTTCACCCTGTATTAATGTTTATTTTGCTACCATTGGTTGTCTTTGACCAGCACCTGTCAAAACCCCAGCAGAGATATGAGTGACGGAAAATGGATGGATGGTTGTTTTTTAATTCTAGTGTTCTTGCTTGTTGTTGAATGCATTTTATGTTTAGCGGGATGACTAGTATTTTTTAATGCTGAATCCAAAATGATTCATGGCTGTTTGTTATTAATTGATGCTGAAGAGGCTGCAGATCTGACTGCAGTGTATTTCTAAGTGGAGTGCTCTTGGATTGTTCTTTTATGATAGCATGTTGAAACTTGCGACGCTCAGTGTGCGCTGGAGAGCTAAAGCAGGGCTCCGACAGACTTAGCAGGCTGAGCTGTGGTGATTTCCCCAGGCGAGAGATGAGAACTTGAGTTATTTTCAAGCTAACTCTGCTGTTATTCAGTGACGTCAGAGTTTGTCAGCATTCAAGAGGAAATCAACTGTTGTAGTTAGAGTTCGGAGCAAAGATGCACTTAGTTCCTGTGACTCTTTAATATGTCAAAGGTTAGATTTCTCTCCCCAGAAAGAAGTCATTTGTAGCTTGTTTTGTGTATTGTTTTTCTTTTTATACGCTTATGATGCCTTTGCAATCTGCCCCATTACCATTTAATCTTTGTAGATGTATCTGCCTCTAAAAAAGACACAGTGAAGTCTGCAGTTCATTTAGTATGACTGTTCAGTGTAATAATCTTGTAGTAGCATATTATTAACGCTCTTAATTTAGGTAGTTTGTTGCCTCATCTAATAATTACTATTGAGGATGGAGAATATGTTATAACTGCAGTGTGAACTCAATTTTCAGTTTTTACTGGTTGTCTCAATAATATTTGTAGTGCTACACACAAATGTCATTTTTAATCCATGAAGTTTTACAATGTAGAGGATTTGGGTTTAGTTTTAAACAAGTCTTGCAGTTATTAAGGTTCTTTATTTTGTTAAATTTAGTCTTTAAGTTATAGTAGACTTACATACTACATATATTTTTTTAGAAGCTAGAAAAACTGTTAATTACAGAAAAGCTATTTCTGTTATTTCTTAGCTTTAACAAGTGCTCGCTTTTAGCCAAATGGGATCATATTTTAAAACGTTTAGACATGCCTTTTCAAAATGTTCCCCTATCATGCTTCCAGATTAAAAGTGGAGGAGGATCCTGTATAAATAAACAGGACCTCGTGTCAAGAGGTTTTCCTGTGCCTTTGTAGCAAACTTTTAATCGCTTTACCAATGAGATGGTTGACTTGGATGCAATCTTTGTTAAATTTAGATACCTGATGAAGCATTCATGTGTTAATTTCCCTCATTCTTCCTGTATGAAAGAAACCTCTTGATTTTCTGCCAATGTTTATGAATGAAATTGTGTTTTTTTTTTCGCACTGTCAGTCCAGTTTGAATGAATGCTGCATTGTTTCTAGAAGGCATCTCACTGTATTGGCTTGTGGTTTTGTTTTTTCGTTAATATGTGTAGTAGGGGTGGAACGATTCACAAAATCCACGGTTCGGTTCGATTCACGGTTCCTGGTCATGGTTTTCGGTTCGGTTCGATACATGTTGTTACACCGAAATCCCATAAATATTTATGGAATTAATGAAAAAATCCCCCAAAAAATAATGGATTGTAATTATTTTAAATGATCCGTGGAAACCCTGGATCATTTCCGTATGTTTTGCTGCTTTGAATTTAATCATCTGGCGCATGCTCTCTACCATCTCCAAGGGACTCAGAGGGGAGCGGACGAAGCCACAGTGGGGGCTGTATGCTTTGCTTTGAGCAGCCGGTCTGGAGCGCAGCGGGGCGAAGCGGGGGTTGCTGACGGAGTATGTGGGATTTCGGGGTTAGCATGACATGTTGGTCATGTTGCTGTTAGCGTAAACAAAACGTGTTGCACAATGCTCGCACACTGTTGCACTTTTATCCACAACTTTCTTTCCGCCGTCATCGTAGGTCACTCTAAATGCAAAGCGCTCCCATACAGCAGACTTATAAAGTGCTGCTGGCGCGTCTTCCAACTCCTGTTCTTTCCCACTCGCCATTCCGACACAATTCTCCACAACAACTGATTTCTTTCCCTGCTACACCCGGCTAAGCTGCTTCGCTTTTTCTTCTTGTTTACTACTGGTGGTTGGCTTTGGTCGCAGTACCGCCACCTTCTGCTCTGGAGTGTAAACGCTTCGCCTATGAGAAAAAGGAGCAGCGCATGAACCGAACGAAACACACGCGAACCGAACTGAGACAGTCGAACCGAACGGTTCTGATGGTTTTCTTAAACCGTCCCATCCCTAATGTTTAGGTATTCTGTATATTTTACTCCGTGATATGCTTAATCCTTCTCTGAAATATTAGCCATATTGTTTTGTTTAGTCATAATGTTATTAATGTCATTTGGTTGCTTAGATTTTCACATCCCTGCAATTTATCAGGAATTTATATAAAAAAAAAATCCATTATTTTTCTATATTCTAACATATTATAACTTTTAGCTTTTCTGGCCTTGATCAGTCAGGTAAAAATTGTGTTTTCTGAACCTGCAAGTTACACCAATCCACCAGCTTTCCTGCAACTTATCAGTCTTGATTTTTAGTGGGAACAGAGTAAGAGTGTCTGTCCTGCAGTATCACATAATACGGTTTATTGACCTACTTAATAATTCTTTAGTTGGTGGATAATTATCTTGACTCACTAATTAGTATTTTAACGGTGATGGTTGGTGTTCATTTAGTTTCCACACTGTCCCTTTTTTATTTTTTCTGTTTCTGTGGCTTTTTCTGCATAACAAATATATATTTATTTAATGCGAAAGTAAACTTGCATGATTTTCTTTCAGCCAGCTGGCAGTGTACAGAAACAGGTAGGGGGAGGGGACAATGCTTCAGACGGGCAGAGAAATTTCATTCTGACTATTTTTCTTTCATCTTAGACATCCGAGCAATAAGAACTGTATTATGAACAAGATTTAAAGTTGTTTAGCGCCCATAAACCTTGAAACTAAATAGTTATACCTTGATAATAATGACTGCCTCTGTATGCTTAAATCTTTTACACTAAAAATGTTAGAGGAACTGGACCTGGATAGTTCTGATTATGGCTGAAACAGTTTATCTGATTAATCGTGATTAATTGATTATCGAAATAATCGTAAACTAATTTAGCTATCGATTAATCATTAACTGGAGTTTAGAGACTCTAAAAGATGCTTTTAGCTGTCAGAGGAACCAACTTAGAGCAGCAATTACATCAAAATTGTAAAAAAAAAAAAATCTGAACATTTTTAATTTTGAAAAGTTTTAGTTTCACCTGGTTTAATTTCATAAACATCTGTAAGGAACCTTTAGCTATCCGATTATTAATCTATTAATTGAAAAAATAATCGACAGATTATTTGATTTGCATAACAATCGTTAGTCGTTGCCCTAGTTCTGATACTGCAGGTTCTATTTAACAGTCACATTTGTATAGCTCCAAAAAAATAAGAAATTTATTGCTGCACATACTTTGTCTCTCTATTTTTTTTATATACATATAAAAATCTAGATACTGGTTAAGGTTGTGACCGAGGATAATCAATTGAACAACCAGACGGCAATATGTGCTTACCTTAAAACTGTGCTACTCTATTTCTTTGTACTCCTGATTAGGATTATTTGATTTCTAAATTAGTTGACGATTCTAATGTTGAATTGATCATCAATAATCTGGATAATTGTTTTAGCCCTAATATTTTTATTAATGGGATGTGTCTCTGGGGCCTCTAATCAGATTTACCAATTTTAAAGATGCCTTTGTTTAGTAGTGTTGTTAGTTAAATATGGTAATCAAAACCACTTAGCTAGTAAAACTCCACATTGGCTTGTGTTGCAATCAACCTAAAAGAAAATAAGCTGTTGTTGGTTCTATACTCATTTAGTAATAAACACATATTACAGAGCTGTGCTATCTGCCATTTACCAAATGGACCCTTTGATCTATTAAGAGGTCTGTTTACAGTGAAGCATAATGCTTAGGAAATGGGTTCACAGAAAAGGGCTGCTTAATCAACTATATTGTAAGCGGTCAACAAACCACAGTGGCTAAATCTACTGGCCAATGCAGCTAGTAAAGTTTAGGATGTGTTCAATTCAATACCAATGTTTTACTATTTTACTGTTCAGCTTTCATCATTATTTATTTCCCGACGCCCCCTTTTTTCGTTCCGCCAGAGAAAAAAAAGAACTCCTTGAAATCTCTTGTAGTGAACACTATGGTCAAATATGTTTCATGTGCATAAATGAGTTATCCAAACAGCCACATCTGCACGGTTGCAATAAATTCTTTGTCCGCTGTTTTGCTCTGTTTTCTTTTCAAACTGGGCAGTAAAGGCTTTAACTCAATGTGCGCCCTGGAGCAGCATCCCAGACAAATAACTGCTGTATTGGTTCACTTTAAGTGCAGCAAGTAAGAGGGCAACTGTAGGTTTTCTGAAGACATTTGTACTGTACTGCATTGCAGAGCTTGGACAGTCACCGCTCCTCTGGGATGCCTTTGTTTCCCTCCAACTGGCAAAGAAAGTACTCGAACTAATGCTTTCCAAAATGTTTAATGTACAGCCAATGTTATGTCATTTGGTTCTATTTTGTTTGGTTTGTTTTAGCCCTGGCATTTGCCTTTAGTTTTTAATTCATGGATTTCTTTGTGTAATATTCTGATTGTTGCTTAAGTTGCAGGTCAACTATAACCTGCTTCTTTTTTGAAACAGCTCAAACACAATTTGGAATTTTGCTGCAATACCAGCATTAGCAATAGATTAACTCCGTTTAATGGATTTGGTTAGTTTAAAATAGTGGCAGGGGTCATGAATTGTTGCTTAAAGTGGTACATGTACAGTTTTCTTGTGGTTGGTGCTGATACACAGGGCAGGCTGGTAATTAACTTTTTCTCTCTGCTGTTGAGGTCTGTTCTCAGCATCTGGTTCTGGACATATCATGGCTTCTACAAGTAAAATCCCTTAGATGTGTGTTGTGGCCATGTTGGGGCTTTTGAAACTCAGAAAGCAGAAGCAATGACTCATTTTTCAACAGCAAGTGAAATCCAGTGGTGTCCTTCTGTAATGGTTTTTGTTGCCTTATAAATGCCACCATTGCCTTTTGATTTGTTACATTTTCTTGATATCATAAACCAACTAGAATCCAATCCAGCCTTTTTGAAATTTTTAAAGGCCAATGCCAATTATAATGACATGGGGACTATTCATGATACTGGTGTTGCTTTTTCTTCCTTTTATTTTTATGGGGTGGGGGGAGTGGTGGCCAGGTGGTTAGGGCATATAGCTTGGAATCCTGAGGTTCTGAGTTCGAACCCCACTCCCACAGACTGCCACTCTGGGTCGACGGCAGCCTGCTGCTCCCCAAGGGGATGGGTTAAATGCAGAGAGAGATAAATTTATCCAATGTGAGATCAATAAAATTCAGTTATTAAGTGACACAATACTAACAAATTGTTTAAACAAAACAAACACATATGAATAAATCAAACAAAACATTAACAAGGGATAGCAGAATGAGGGTGCAGGAATGCATGTATTTAATCTGAAGACATGGCTGCTGAATGTGCTCATTTATCAAACGCATAGATAGATGCCAATACATGATAAAATGCTAATATCAGCTGGCAGATGTGTCGATAACCGGCCTCGTTCAGAACATGAATTTATCGAAGCATCAGCCTTTGCTGCAGGTACTGACAAGTTGAGCAAATTTTGTTTTGTGAAATCCATCCAGCCCATTCATAGTGGATGCAGAAGGTCTGTGGACATTGAGTATGCTCACAAATTTTTAATGGAATCACTTTGACAAACATTGAATATGCATCAGTCTGAACCACTTTATCCTGGCTGTGAGGTTATTGCTGTTGTTTCATCCCATTGATCTTTCCTTCTTGTGCTGGTTGATGGGACGCATTCTCACCTCTTGATGCTAACGCTGCAGTGTGTCGCTGTGTTTTTGTCTTGTTTTTTCTTAAGGATGTTTTTCATATAAACTAAAAGGTTTTATATTTGCTTTTGGGACGTAGCAAACTCTTCTAGTTTTTCTGTTTCCTGTACACTACTTCTGGTGATTTAAAAAAACGTGAGTTCTCATGGACTGCTTCTTCTTACAGATAATGTCCTGATTTGTTGAATTCCTACCTTTTATTAGTCATTTTGATAGTTTATATTTACTAAAACTCTGTAGCTGTTATCAACCTTATCAACCCCTCTTATGCTTTTTTATCAATTGTTGGCTCTAACTCAGATTATTGCCTAGTGCAGACTTTATAAGTAATTTATGTAGAAACATTAACATTTGTGTCTGCAATGTGCTACATTTGGAAAGTGAATATTAAGCAACATATCGTACTTAAAATCTTATTTTTAGTTGTTCATTCGATTAAACTCCTTTTCCCTCCTGAAGGCTGCTGCAGATCAAATCTAAGTCTGTATGTCCTTCAAGTTTTATTGTAGTTAATACTTTGCATAATGCGGCCTAAATGGTTTGTTTAATCATGGTTGTGATGGAAGGGACCTCTGTTTTAATCCTGCTAAAGAAGATGCGGCCTGGACAGATTGGGGTCACATTCTGAGCGGCAGATCTGCCCTCCTGTCATGTGCTTTGAAACCGGCGTGTAGTACGCCATCAGAGATCTGACACTGAAATAAATCTTCCCACAAGCTGTGTGATATTCAGAGGTGGATTGTAGCATAAGTTCAACCCCTGGAATGAATATGTTAAAGACTGAACGTTTTTGTCTTTTTCTCCTCAGGTTGGCGACATCGTCACCGTCACGCGGATGAACATCAGTGGTCAGTGGGAGGGGGAGGTGAACGGACGCAAAGGCCTCTTCCCATTCACACACGTCAAAATCATAAACCCCCAGAATCCAGATGAGAGCGATTGACTTGGAGGCTCAGTCGGAGCCTCTTGGCGGTAGCGACGTGTAGCTGAACCCGCTGGCCCGTTGCCACCTGTCCTGCTGGTGTCGCGGTTATGCGCTTGCCTGCTTTGAGAAGGGGGGGCTGTACCATAACATAACAGCGACCCCCATCTCTGCTGCCGCCAGCCTTTGCAAGGCTTCCTGACTGTTTACAGCTGTTGACATCAGACTTAAGTTAAAAACTTGACCTAACCATCGCTAGTTCCCTTTTGAAGCCGATTTTCTTCGTGTTTGATTTGCAGAGGATCACTGGGCATCAGTGCGAGTGTGTGTTTGTATGTTAGTGCATGTGGGCGTGCTCACAACAGATTTCTCCTGCAAAGCATCAAAACTTGTCAGTCCTCTTAGATGCTGAGTTTTTGTCATGTGAGCTTTTTTTTTGGCTTCTGAATTTTTTGTTCATGTGAGAATGATTGTATGTGCAGTAAATGGGGTAAAGCAGCATCTACATGGCTTTAGGAGAGCACTGAGGCAACTAGGAGCTGGCCGGCCATTGAATTAACATCACTGCAAACAATAAACTCACTGTTTTACCTTAATTCTCTGCAAATTGGTCATGGGGTTTTGGACTTTTTTTTTAAGCATCCTGTTTGTGTCTAGTGATGCCTGTAATGTGTCAATTGAAGCAGAAATTGGTGGATTTCTGGAGAAATTACATTATTGATGACTGTCTCCAATCTTCCTGACTGGCCAACTAACTTATTTATGCTGATACGGTATGACATAGCCAGCATTTTCTCTTGCTCTTTTTACATGAGATTTTTTTTTCTTCATTTTGCGACAGCGCATGTTTGAGGGTGACTCTACATGTCCACTTCTTGAAATTAGTGTAAACGATTAGCAGGGTTTGAATGCTAACAGAACCTAGCAGTAAAGTGGCTTTAAAAGTTTGTTTTGAAAAGTGCCAAGCCTTTGAGCTAACCATCTAGATCAGCACCTATTGGAGCATCTGACAACCTGTGGCACAGCTAATGAAGTCCCATCATTTCTTTCAAAGTGAAATCAGTCTCTTGCCTTCTCTTGATAATATGCTAATTCTGTTAAAATGAAATCTTTTTTTTTCTCTCAATGTTTGGTTTCCCACATTTCTTGTAATGCAAACAGACCCCAGTAAAGCAGTTTAAGGTATTCACGTCCACATTGTGCTACAGGCAGTTTTGCTAATCATCAGGTCGCCCAGGGATTAAATGGTTGTAAGAACGAAGCAGGTTTCTGCTGTAAAACCCTCAATCTCCACTCTTACCCCATCATGTCTGAATTGATGCTCTGCCAAATTCTCTAAGGTTATGGGCAGCTTTAAACTGCATTTTTTTTTCTTTATTTGGTCAGTTTTAAATCAAGCGTTTTAAAATAAGTGTTATTTAAAGGGTGACTTACTAAAAGGGAAAAAATGCCTGCTGGTTGCCTATGTGCATGACCTCTTGGCCACAGTAGGTGGTCTCATCTGGTCATATGCTGCTTATTGTCATTTATCTCATTTAGCAAAGTTTCTTTTTTTGTTTGTTTTTTTTCTTTCTTGCCGAGATTATTTAAACCTAGTCGAGCAATACAACCTGAGTATTTCCCTTCTTGAGATGAACTTTTCTCCTGCTTTTGAGCTATTTTGTAATGGCATTAACAGTATTACTGTGCTATTTTTGTTTTCTCATAATTCTAGAAAAGCCTGTTCCTCAAAAAAAAAAAAATCAAATTGTGCCTTTTTATTTTCTAATACCATTTACATGTGTTAATATTTCCCATGGATAACACCTGTGTTGGTAATGACCCTTTATGTACAGAACAAGTAAATAAAATTTATGTCTACTTCTTTAAGCAGCCATCCTCTCTGGTATCTTTTCTCTGTGCCCTATATGCCATTTAACAGATGGGCGGGTGGGTCCGCATGCGGCGGCTCAGGCGTCACCGCTTGTGTATCTGGAGCACAGGACAGTTGCTCTTGCTCTAGTTTGACGTTTTTTTTCTCTCTCCAGTTTTGATTCTGCCTGCGCCCAGGAGAAAGGAAGCAATTAATGAATTTTAATGAAGTGCTAAGAAAAGAATGTCAGCTGACCCAAAGACGGGAACAGAAAAACTTTTCAAGGGCAGCTTTGCATGTGTCATGTTTGTTTAGCGCTGAAAGCACTCCTCTATTTAGAAGCTGCAGCTTTTAAAAGGATGCTGTTGTCAATTTGCAGCTGATGCTTTGCGCGCACAAAAGTAGGGTGTGATTTTCATAATATTTAACTGAATACTGTTCATGGGTAAAAAGGGATCCTGTGAAACCTGCAGTCAAAATTTAAATCCTGGTATCTAATCATTGTGTGGAGGAACTAAACAGGAAGTGAAGCATTGATTCTATTTCTGTAGTGTTTATTTAAATCTCGTTTTTCATATCAGCCCAGGAGATAATTCTGTGAAATGTTCTCGTTCTGATGCTTAACAGCATTTCTGCAGCATAAATTATTTTTGTACAAGTATTCAGGTTTAAAGTACTTCCGTCACGGAGGGAGAAGACAAGTGATTGTCAACTTTAAAGGTGAATTCACTAAATCTACTTATGGCTGCAGTGGTTTGGAAAAGTATTCATATCCTCTGAACGTTAGCTGTCAGTCCTGTTTCAAATATAAGCTTCATGGTATTTAACAGGACTAGAATGGAGCCATTCAAACTTCCCTCCATGCTTGTCAAGTTAAAATTACTGGAAAATATTGCACATTTTTCATATTTGTTTCATCCATCTCAAACTATGCCTAAATTTGAATGAAAGAAATTGTTAAAAGGATCTAATTATGATAGATCTCAAATTTTGGCCAGTTTATGTCACATAATGTCCAACGTTTAAGTCCAT